CGCGTGCCGCTGCTGGCTCCACGCCCCGCGGCAGGGTCCCCCGGCACAGCCGGGGCTGGGGGCACACCAGGACGGTTGCCCGCGGGCAGTGCTGGGCAGGACTCCTCTGGGATGCGTTGGCGCAGTCAGGCTGGCCGGTGGGACGTGCCCACCCGTCCCGGTGCGTGCCGCTGCAACGGGGGCAGCGTCCGGCCCTGGGGGTGCGCGTTGCCGGTTCCCAGGGCCATGGGCAGGGTGCGGCCGTGCCCCTGGCCCACGCGGCCCCTGCCGGGGCTCGGCCCCCGGCCGGCCGGCGCAGGAAGGAGTGAGCTGCCTGAAACCACATCCCCGACACTCATCCCAGAGGCATCCCGGAGGGATTAGCCAGGGAGCGTGGGCCGGCTTAGAGAGCAAAGCATCGCTTCCTGGCCCGGCCGGGCGGCCGGCCAGCCTGGGCTCCTCCGCACCGTGCCGTGCTGGGCAGGGGGCAGGCGGCCATGGCCCCGCCAGCCCACGTCGGCACACACATGGATGCAGGGAGTGGGGCCACGCGGTGAGAAGCGGACGGTGCTCCCTCCCCCCAGCCCCCTCCCGCCCGGCCGGCCGCTGGCCACCAGTCCCATTCCAATGTTTCCACCATGATCTCACGGCTCGGCCGGGGTGGGGAGCGCTGGCCTGGGCCTCCCTGGGGGGTGCTGGGGCCCCTCCAGGCTGTGGGGGAGGCCAGCGGGGTCAGGGCGGGGGCTGATCCCCTGCCCTGCGCTTCCCACGCTGGCCTTGTCCTCTCTGAACACGTGTGCACACATGCATGTGCACACACATGCACACATGCAGCTCTGCCACTGTGCCCTGCCCGCAGCCAGTGCCCCCCCTCCGTGGTGTCCCAGCCCCGGGGAGCTGCTGTCCCCATGTCCCCAGCCTTCCTGCCCTTGCCTCCCGGGCACTGGCAGGGCTCTCGCTGCCGCGGCTGGCAGCTGCCCGTGCTGGGAGCGGGATGGCCCGGCTCGCCCTGGCACAGCACTGCACAGCCGGAGCCCCGGGGAGGTCGGGCTCATCCTGGCACTGGGGGCAGCTGGTGTCCCACCAGTGGCTCCGGGGGGC